ATGACTAGACTCAAAATATTGTGCAAAATTAGTAAGGAAAATATGCAAAACATGATATTTAAACAAATAAGACTTCTCAAAAACTAATAGGTTAAGTAGTCAGAAAAATTAGCAAGTACATATAGGAGTTGAACAAAATAATTTACAAGGTTCATATAATGAACCCTCACCTGAAAGTCATTAAACTGTTTTCAGTGTGTGAAAGGTATACAGTAAGAAGTACAATTTGGTGTCATGAATTAGCAAACATACACATATGTGTATGTATCATAAACAAAAGTTTCATGAATTATATATCTCCTTACATTGAGTAAATTTTTTATTTTCTGTCCTATTCTGTTTCATTGCTATTAATGCTCATTATACAAAATTGATTTCTTGACTCATTAATAGATTGATATCATTTTCCTTGAAAACATTGAGTTAAAAAGTATATGCACATAAGCACATGTAGTTAAAAAATATATGTACATAAGCACACATAGAACATTTACAAATTAACTTTCCAAATCACCTCCTCCCCACAAAAAAACAGCCTCCTGTGCCCTGTTACTCTTGCACCCTTCCCCTTGCTGAAACAAAGACGCATTGACTTATGTTTTCACTGAGTACAGGCCATCTTATCCCTCATCTGCTTCTCTTCTCCATTTCTATATTTAGCCTCTCATCTTTTCTTCCAGACTTAGAAGAAGAAAATAACATCTTCTTTTCCAAGGTTAACTTTTACAACTGCGCTTTTGATTTCATAACCTTCTGCTTTCTCTTCCTTCTTTGGTGTCTCCTCTCATTCTTATTTTTTCAATTTAATTTAACTTTAAAAAGTAGGATATATTCGTTGTACGGGGGGATTCATAGTGACAATTCCAAATAAGCTTATATTGTATGTTGGTTAGATCACCTCCATCATCTCTCCCCCTCTACCCTCTCCCTGCTCCACTTAAAGCAATTGCAGGAGATTTCTTTGTTCTATATCATATAAGTGTATGAAGTCATCAGCCATATTCCTCCACCTTAATCTCCTTCATTCACCCTCCGCCCTCCCACAAGTACACACACACACAGTACCTATTTTACAGTCTTGTCTTTTGTTATTAATATCTAAATTGATGTTCAAAGGGGTTTCTCAGTGTATCCCTGCTGTGAGTATACTTTCCTTTGGTCTGGTCAACTTTCTCTCAGCTTTACATGTAGACGTTTCTCCTCTTTCTTTTCCTTGTGATGCTGGGGATTGAACCTTGGCCCTTGCACAGGCCAGGCACGTTCTCTACTACTGAGCCATGCCTCTGGTCCTAGACATTTTTTTCTTGAGTATTCCATCATGAACTCAGTTTTATGGGTTTAACTGGTTTTCATTCTGGACCTCATGACTATTATTTTTAGTCATTGGACTATAATGCAACTGTCTTTGTACTTTTTTGTAGTTGTTTATTTTTTAAAATTACTTATTTTTTGTGGTGCTGGTATTTGAACTCAGTACTTGAACTTGTTAGGCAGGTGCTCTACCACTTGAGCCATGACCCTAGTCCCAAATTGTAGTTTCTTGAATGAGTAATGCATTCACATAATTCAAAATGCCAAAGATACAAAAGGGTATTGAATAAGGAGGTTCTTACCTGCCTTTTCTTCCAGCTGCTGTATTCTGTCTTTTCTGCCCCCCTGCCTCTTACTGTTTCTGCCCACGTCCTCATCCCTTCCTGCTCAGGAGAGCATGGATGTTTTAGTGTCATCTGTGGTTTATGTTCTTCCTGTCCTTCTGATAGCATCCATTGAGGGGTTTCACATTCATCTCTTCATGTACATTCTTTACCCACTGCTAACCCCCTTCCCAAGCTCATTTGTTGTGACCCTTCATGTCATTTCAAGCCAAGTTTTTGCCATATCCTTGCTGTTTTCCCTGCTCCCAGACTCTTATCTCTTCCCAAATATTTCATGAAATTTTTTGTTTCTGGAACATATATATTTGTTTGGTTCACTAGGTCATGATGTAAAAAGTATTTCTTAATATGGACCTTGAACAACTAAAAACACTATTTAACTTTTGGGTGAGGGTTCATCATATCAATTGAGATACAATTCCTGGCTGTAATTTGGCTTACTTGTGTCATTATCCCAGGCCATAGTCTCCAGGAAGTACAGGCTTGTTATCTTTATCAGCTCTCAACACTTGGTCTCAGTTTACTTCAAGTCTCATTCAGATCTCCACTGTACCCACTGGTCTTTTGTTACCTAGCCTGTTTGCTGCTGTATCATCTTAGCTTGATACAGTGCCTGCTTCCTGGCAAATATTTGATATGTGTTTCCCCAGTTTTGGGACAAATTCCAGACAGTTCTTGTATTTTACTCTGCATTGTTTTTCTTGAAGTTCCATGTTAACTTTTTCTTCATTCTGCCTGTTCTTAGAGCTCATTTCTTACCCAAAGGGTAGAGCCACAAATGGTGGCCTTTGTGGAGGTCAGAGTAGAAGGGTTAGGGGAGCTGGAGTGCCTTCCTTGTGAGAAACATCTGTGTGGGTAGATGTTGAGACTTGGTGTGCCTGATATAGGGATTCTGCTTCACAATTAGAAGTAGAGTTAAATATAACAGATAAAAACAGTAAGTACTTGGTATTGGGTAATGACCACTTTTTTAAACCTAAAGATAATGAAAATGATATATTTGTATCAAAATTAAAGCCAAAATACTTGCAAACATGTCAGAGATTTGAAGTCCTTAATATACAAAGAACTCATAAGTCAACTTGTAAGTTTTTATAATTATAAAGAAAAATTATTAGAAAATGCAAACAAGTAAATCGTAGAAGAAGAAACATAAACACTTTTATAATTGTTTAATCTTACCAATGATAGAAATAAAATACCATTTTTGGCAAAAGATACCATCAAATTAACAAGATTAAAAAATTCTGGTGAGAGTATTTAAAACAAACATTTTCATATGCTTCTGGCAGAAAATCTGTGCTATACCTTTATAGAAGACAATTTGGTAATACTTGAGTGCTTTAAAATTTTAATGCCACCACAAAGTTATCATTGTAAAGAATATTTTAAAGAATTGAGAAAATACTGTTCTTGTGAATTGTTACTTACAACACTAGTATATAAAGCTGTGTTTTTAGTATTGCAATTTATGTAAGACCTGAAATGAAGTAAAATAATGTTATCCTTTGGGTGGTGGCATGATAAGTTCTTCCCCAATTTTATAGTGGTACTTTTATAATCTTTTTTTTTTTTTTTTTGGCAGTAGTGGGCCTTATGCTTGCTAGGCAGGTGCTATATCACTTGAGCCACCCTGACAGCCTTTTTTTGGGGTTGAGTATTTTTTGAGATAGGGTCTTTCAAACTATTTGCTTGAGCTGGCCTCAAGCTGCGCTCCTCCTGATCTCTGCTTCCTGAGTATCTGGGACTATAGGTGTGAGCCACTGGTGCCTAGCTAATAACAATGCATTTCATTTGAAAGTTTTTATCTGACTAGTTCCATGTATAGTTTTAGAGGGAGGCACTGTAGCAGGATGGTTTGGAACTCAGCACTGAGTCAGGTAGAACCTGGTCTTTTTTTTTTTTTCCTGAGATGGCATCTCACTTACATAGCCCAGTCTGGCTTCAAACTCACTATGTAGCCCAGGCTGACCTAGAAATCACAATCCTCCTGCCTCAGCCTCCTGAGTGCTGTGATTACAGGTGTGTGTACTACCACACTTGGTTTGTAGACCTCACTTTTGATTGTGGCTCTGCCTTCATCCTTTGTGTGATGTGACTAGGTTACTTTTTGAAGCATCTATTGCCTCATCTGTAAAATGGAACTCCTAATAGCTATCTCACAAAATTGTCAAAATTAGAAATAGTAATATTCATGATAGCCTTTAAAAATTCCTTATTTTACTTTAATTCTTGCCAAAAAACCAAAACAATGAAGTTGAACTGGAAGTATAGCTTAGTGGTAAAGTGCTTGCCTAGCATGTGTTAGCTACCATTCATGAAACCCCAGATTCTATCCCTAGCAGTGCAAAACAGCAACAAACCGACAAAGTCAACTTGCTTCCCATTGAATATGTCATCTAAAAAACAATAGTCAAAGCCCAAATGAATTTGGAGACTAAACTATTAAGTGTATAATTATCCTATGAGTTACAGGTTGAGTGTTAGGTTTCACTAAAATAAAATTTAAATAATTATTAAAATGCAATTTAAATTTTCTGCCAAGAGATATACTATTTTCATACTTGCTGATTCTTTCCAGCTGTTGAACTATCAGTGACGTCACACTTTCCACCGTGTAGATAACAGCCTTTTGCAACCTGGGTTCCAGAAGAGAAATAAAAGTCCTGTTGTCCTTAGACATCTGTTGTGTGTAATGAATTTGCTTCTCTTCTCTGTGTCTAGAATGGCACCAGTTGTATGCCATTTCATTTCTCATGTGGGAGAAATGAGAAAACTGTCATCAAATCATTGTGGTCTGTTCTGTGGTTCGGATGAGGAGTCCTGATTGAGATGTCCAGCAACTGGAACAGTTCCTATTGAGTTTCCCCTGGAAGTCAGATAAAAGAGCAGTGGCTTTCTGGATGTCTTTACCTGGTGTAAGCATTTTTGGGAAAAGTTCTTTTGGAGAGTGTAATGCAATAAGCAGGCAGCTCTATGGCCATTTCTTAGAGCTTGTCTTTGTATCTGTGCTGTAGGTAGGACTTTGGGCTGTTCTGCCTGTTTGCTCTCTTGTAGTGCAACAGCCTCTTTTCTCCACTGTAGGGCGCCAACGATACTGCTTCTCGTGGTGTGGTCTAGCTTCTGAAGTTTTTGCCCATAGCTATCCCAACTAATACCAGGAGCCTTGTTCAGGTCTCAGAGTTAATGTGTTATCACAGATTACTTTTTGGTAATGCATTCAGTGCTCTTGTTTAGCACTGATTTTTGTGGATGTTGATCATTGTTCTAATGTACTGTTAACGATATTGTGTAATGTATTTTCTGGAGAATATGTTTTCATAACTACTTCTTCTTTTATTTTAGCTACGGATCTACTTCTTGCCTGGAATCCCATTTGTTTGGGGTTGGTAGAAGGTGTGATTGGGAAAATTCAACTTCATTCAGGTATGTTTCTATAAACTCCCTAAACTTTCAAATTTAATGTGGCATTCTCTGACATTTTCTTCTTTGAGGATACATGTAAATTCTGTTATGGCTTTGATTCTTTTGTCTTAATTTTGAGCCTGCTCAAAGTGGGTATATTTCTGTTTAACTTTAATGAACTAAAAACGAAGCTTTAGAAAAATAAGGCATAATATTATAATCATTTCATTCTTTTGCTAAAAAATCCTCACCAAAATCTGTTGTGTTTCAGGAATTGTGCTTGTTTATGTAACACCATACTGAGCAAAAACTGACCCTTTTTTGCCCTCATGGAACTTACAATTTAGGAAAAATACAGATATGAATGAGTAGTCACTGAAATGGATATATAATCATTTGAGAGTTGATGCAGGTGTTATAAAGGAAAGATACAGCAAGTGCATGGACTTCAGGGGAGAGCAGGAGTACAGCTGGAAATGCAGCAGGTGGCAGCCTTATTCCTTATTCAGTCACTTCTGGCCAGGAAAGAGTATGGACCTCACGATATGTAGTGTGGTCCCTCAGGGACTGCTGTCCACGGCAAGCAGATTGATGGAAAGTCTAAGACATCAACCAGACCCTCACCTGGAAGGACAAGTGTCTGATAAAATTTCTTTCTTTCTTTTTTTTTTAAGTTTTGGTGGTACTGGGGTTTGGATTCAGGGCTCACGCTTGCTAAACAGGTGCTCTCCCACTTGAGCCACTCTGCCAGCTGTAAGAACAAGTAAGTTTCTTGGGTTCAGGAGGAATTTTGGTGGTAGAAAATTTAAAAAAGTATTATATAGGTGGGTCCCACAAAGCTAACTGAAAATAGCCAAATGAAATTTTTTTGGTGGTACTGGGATTTGAACTCAGGCCCTCATGCTTGCTAGCTAGGTGCTCTACCACTTGAGCCACTCCACAGCCCCCAACTGAAATATTTTAAGCATTGTATTTAAGTATCTATTTCCCTTGGTATCAATTTTAATGAGTTATGAACTATAGGAGGCCTTGCCATTTTTGTTATGTAATTGAGAGTACTATATCTCTGTCTCTGTAGTGTACCTTTTTTTATTTCAAAATAAAATTATTGAGTATTTGGAAGGTAGGTTGGTTTTTGTGATTTAGAAAGCACATGTTGCCAGAGACAATTTCATTTTCCTTTGCTAGGCTCTGGTTGTCTTTAAAATTGTGTTTTTACACATGAAAAAATGCTCACTATCTCTAGCAATAAAGGAAATGCAAATTAAAACCACACTAAGATTCCACCTCACCCCTGTTAGAATAGCCATCATTAGCAACACCACCACCAACAGGTGTTGGCAAGGATGGAGGGCGGGGGGAAGGAACCCTCTTACACTGCTGGTGGGAATGAAAACTAGTACAACCACTCTGGAAAAAAATTTGGAGGCTACTTAAAACGCTAAACATTGATCTACCATTTGATCCAGCAATACCACTCTTGGGGATATACCCAAAAGACTGTGACACAGGTTACTCCAGAGGCACCTGCACACCCATGTTTATTGCAGCACTTTTCACAATAGCCAAGTTGTGGAAACAGCCAAGATGCCCCACCACTGACAAATGGATTAAGAAAATGTGGTATCTATACACAATGGAATTTTATGCAGCCATGAAGAAGAACAAAATGTTATCATTCGCTGGTAAATGGATGGAATTGGAGAACATCATTCTGAGTGAGGTTAGCCTGGCCCAAAAGACCAAAAATCGTATGTTTTCTCTCATATGCGGACATTAGATCAAGGGCAAACACAACAAGGGGATTGAACTATGAGCACATGATAAAAGCGAGAACACACAAGAGAGGGGTGAGGATAGGTAAGACACCTAAAACATTAGCTAGCATTTGTTGCCCTCAACGCAGAGAAACTAAAGCAGATACCTTAAAGCAACTGAGGCCAATAGGAGAAGAGGATCAGGAACTAGAGAAAAGGTTAGATCAAAAAGAATTAACCTAGAAGGTAACACACATGCACAGGAAATTAATGTGAGTCAGCTCCCTGTATAGCTATCCTTATCTCAACCAGCAAAAACTCTTGTTCCTTCCTATTATTGCTTATACTCTGTCTTCAACAAAATTAGAGATAAGGGCAAAATAGTTTCTGCCGGGTATTGAGGGGGTTGGGGGGAGAGGGAGGCGGTGGAGTGGGTGGTAAGGGAGGGGGTGGGGTCAGGGGGGAGAAATGACCCAAGCATTGAATGCACATATGAATAATAAAAAAATTTTAAAAAAAGAAAGAAAAAAAATTGTGTTTTTAATATGAAATATTTTATAAACGAGAGGCTGTTTATCAGAGATATATAGGAAAGGTTGCTATAAGATGCACAAGTGTATCTGTCTAGATTAAGAAATGAAACATGACCAGTGTCTTCAGAGCCTTCCTGTGCTTCTCTCCAAATGTTTCCTTCCCTGAAAGACAACCTGCTATTTTGAATTTTGTTGCTGTCATTCCTTTGATTTTCATTATTGCTTTTTAATACATATGTAGTCCTAAATAATATGTTGCTAAGGCTTGTCTTTTGGGGATTTTGCATAAATGACATTAAACTGCTTGTGTTCTTTCTCTTCTTTATATTTCTATTTTTGAGATTTGCCCATGTTGATGTATGATAATGGAAACCCTTATTTTCACTCTTATTTGAATATATCATGATTTGCTCTTTTTCCTGTCATTGTGTAATTTAGTTGTTTCTTTTTTCTTTCTTTTTTTTGCTACTAGAAATACTGCTGTGAGCATTGTTGTTTATTCTGTCTTTGGTAGGTTTTTAAAAAAATCTTTTCAACACAGAGTTGAAAAGCATTTAGTCATTGTGTAACCATGCTAAGTATTTTAATAATACTCTCTAACTGTCCACATTTACATATGTATATTTTTAATTCATTTACATGCTGACAGGATAATTTCACATCTGGATGTTCTGAGCTGAAATTCATTTTCCATTATTTAAATGACATGTATGAAACTTTTGAATTATTTTTCTTCAATTTCAATCACATCTTGGAGCAGTGAATAATCACTGAAATTTGTCAGGAGACCAGGATTCAAACTCTGTTTATTAGCTTTGAGACATAGAGAAGTTACCTAATACCTGTTTCACTTATCTATTGTGTAATAAGTCATCGTAAGAGCTAATGGCTTCAAACAACGCAGTGTATAATACCCCACTATTGTATGGGTTGACCAAGCTATTCTGCTCCTCTCATTGGCTGGAGTCATTTCTACAGGGGAGTTTGCCTAGGTTGCCTCCATCTGAGTTCATATGGCCTCTCTCTGTGGATCTCCTGAGAACTCTCCTTGGAGAAGAGGTTCTCCATCTTGGATAGCCTGGACAACTTTTTAGGGTGGTGGCTGCGTTCCAGGAAGACAAATCCCAAACTTCAAATGCCTCTTCTTTTCTTTCTTTTTTTTTTGCTTAGTTAAGTTTATTTCATGAGCAGTAATCATCTCAGAAATCTTTTTCTTCATCAGATGCTTGAGTCCCTTGCAAATTTTTTTGATCTTTGATCTTGAATGTGGAGTTTTACTCCATCAATAATATGATTTTCCTGTTGTATTGCATTTTGAAATTCTTCTGAAGAAAACTGAATCCAACCCAGACCTCTGTGAAAGCCAGTTTCTTTGTCAAAATTACAATGCTCAGTTTGGTCATATATGAAAGTGCAAAGTCAGCTCACTTGATGCCACGGTCCAAGGAATTTTTCTGGCAAAAGTAATTGGTTCAACTAACTCTCCTACGCAATGCATAGCACTCCTCACTGCTGAGGCTACCATGTTTTCTTTAGACAGAAGGGCCAGCAGGACCTTTTCATTTTTCTATGCTGGGATTCAAACTCAGGGCCTTGCACCACTAGCAGCAAGTACTCTACTACTGAGCTACACCCCAGCCCAGCTTGTACTTCTTAAGCTGTAAAGCAAGAGTAAAATTAACTGGCCACAGTATTTCTGTAGGGTATTGTAAGTCCCAAATGAAATAATAAGCCCAAAGGTTCTTACTTGCTCTTGAGCATCCATCTTCCTCTTCTGTTCCCTGTCATCCTTTGTTCTTGAGGCAGCCATGTCCCTCCTTTCCCTGGGCCTCCTTAAAGCTCTTGCATGGGGGTCAGATTAGCTGGTGTGCACCAGAACTGAGCTGAACACTTTGGGAGAATTTTCTCATGGGAACATCTTATCTTTGGGAGGTAGAAGATGAAGGAAATAAAATGTCTGTACTTAAACTCTCTTTCACTCCTGTTTTCCTCCTACTGATTCTCTTCATATCAATGCAAGAATTTTTGTTCTTGACTAGTGAGATGGGAGCATAAATTAATTTGAACAGATGTCATTGACAGTCTTAAAATGGCGTGGGTGAGCTATGCTGCTGTTCCTGATTGTCACTGAACTCTGAGCTCTGAGAAATGTAGCAGGCTCTCATGATTTAAGAACTGGATTAGTTTGCTAGGGCCACCATAGCAGAGTGCTACAGGCTGGGTGGCTTAAGCAACAAAATTTCTCACGGTCAAGGTATTGGCAAGGTTGGTTTTTTCTGAGACCTCTCTCCTTGGCTTGTAGATGGTCATATTCTCTCATCTGTACTTGGTTTTCCCTCCCTGTGTAACTTTGTCTAAATTTCCTTCTGATAATAACACCAGCTCTTTTGGATTAAAGCTCACTCTGATTAACTCATTTTAATACAATTACTTCTTTAAAGACCCTGTCTCCAAATATGGTCACATTCTGAGGCAATGGGGGTTAGGACTTCAACATATGAGTTTTGATGGTTTAGTCCATACTAGGAAGCTAATGTCCACTGAAACATTACAGTGCATTTCAAAGATAATTCCCTCTGGTCTAGTACTGCTGATTCCTGCTTTTTTCTTCTTCTCCTTTTTTTTTTTTTGGGAGGGGATAACTGGGGAATGAATCCAGGGCCTCACACTTACTAGGCAGGTGCTGTTCTACTTGAGCTATGCCATCAGCCTAATTCCGGCTTCTTACCCA